GGACTACATTTATGGTGAAATCTTACACTGGTCACCTTATGTTCTTTAGATATATCCCTCTCTCACCTCACTACCTTCACAAATGCTGTCTCTTCAGCCTGGAATGTTTTCCTACCATATCTTCAAAATCCTTAAAGTTTCAGCTTCAATGTTATATACTTCTGGAAAAAGGCTTCTCAAAAAAATTAGGTCCTATTATATCCTCACTAGAAGCCTATACTTTTCTTCCCTAGCATTAAAAAAAAAATTATAACTATGTTATATGTACAACTATTTGATTAATGTATGTTTAAGCAGAGTCAGTATCTGTTTCCCTAATCACTGCATCATTTCACAGTGCCACAGCCATGTGTCCTTTCACCAATATCTGAAACAGAAAACTCATGAGTCCTGGCCCTAGAATGGCTGCATAATACAGCAAGATATGCCATGGATATTTAACTATTTCCCTTCAGTTGAATTTTTAGGCAAAATACTTTTTAAAAATCACAGTGCTAGGCAATGAAAGGAATTCAAGTAGAAGGAAGACAAGTTCTCCTAAGAAGTTTCTGGAGTGCCTGTCTTTTTACTTTTTTTGTTCTTCTATAGTTCCTAGCACACAGTCAGATCCCTGGGAGATACTTAAAGCATTTAGTGACCAAAGTACTACATGATAATCAAAGTGATAGAATTAAATGTCACAAAATTCTACATAATAGGGTTCACTGAAGGCTAGAAGCATTAGAAAAATGTTTAAGGAGCTAGAACTCAATTTAGATAGGGTAAGGACTAACTTTTAGGGATCTGCCCAACTTATGCTATCACCCCTCACCTGCCCTCCTTCAACAGCAGTATGGCCAGATTTGTACTCCTTAACACAAAACATTTCTATAATCCATTTGCTGAATTCTAAACAAAATTATCTTCAATATGAGATTCTATGCTTAGTTAACATATATTAATGAAACTTTTTTTGGCCATAAAGGACCCGAGTGGTAGATGATAAAAAACTACAAAGAATTCATTATACTATCTGTTGCATAAATGAAACTTAACAAAACATTTTACATGCTACATTCATTTAATAATGTAGGTATTAAGAGGATCGAAAATTGAAATCCTAGAGTTTAACTATGTACTTTCTGAAGGACCAATATAAGATCAAAATAATAACTACATTAGCAATTATTTTCCAAGCGCTGCACATGGGCCTTTCTGTGCATTTCCACGCCCCCCTCCCCCCCCAAATCTTCAAAATAACCCTGAAAGTTGAAAAAACTGAGGCTGAAAAGCTGGGTGACTTCAACTACTATACAGCTTACAATACAGGTGTTCTTTTTTTAGACAATGTAAACTGAACTAAAAATGCCAAAACAAACATAAAAACCCTGAAGTTTTGGAGAACTTCAAATGCTTGGTTACTGAATTTAAAATAACAAAAGCTTTCCTAGGAAGCATACAAGTTCAAGGAATATAACATCCTTTAATTTAAAAAGTCTTTCTAGCTCAGCTAATGTGGCTCAGGGGTTGAGAGTTGACCTATGAACCAGGAGGTCATGGTTTGATTCAGGTCAGGGCACATGCCTGGGTTGCAGACTTCATCCCCAGTAGGGGGCGTGCAGGAGGCAGCCAATTAATGATTCTCTCACATCATTGAAGCTTCAATCTCTCCCTCCCTTCCTCTTTGAATTATATATATATATATTTATTAATGCAGGTAAATTTCAGATATATTTCACCAAAACGGAGTAATTTGGCAGTAAAGGCTTTAAATATATATATATATTTAAAGCCTTTCTAAAACTCATGGGTAAATTTAGAGTGCTTTACTGCCAAATTACTCCGTTTTGGTGAAATATATCTGAAATTTACCTGCATTAATAATTTCAATAAAAGTTCTCTAAAAAAAAAGGAAAATTACCAGCTATATAACTACTTTACAAAAATTTTTTATTTTTGAAAGGAAAAAATAACAGATTTGAGAGAAACTACAAGAGTATGAGTATTATAAAATGTGTTTTTTTTTATACTACTATAACAAAATACCACAATAGAATAACAGTAGCATTATCCAAAGCCAAATGATGTCAGGCTTCTAATCAATAAGCTGTTAAGGGTTGAGACCTCTGTAATTATTTCAAACTGTATGAATGTTACATTATCAAACATCGGGACAAGTAGTCTTGTATGAAATAACTGTATGAGATCAAATAATCACATAAAAAAGAAATTACATACTTCTGTATTTAAACTTTCCACACTAAGATCTTTTCAATCTGTATGGTACCAACTCTTTGCATTCATCAGATTTCATCAATGTAGTCATTGCACATTGTAAAAGCACACTTCAAGTATTCCCATAAAATAGTTAATTAGTTGAAACTCAAAAGCATCAATGTTATCTCGAAATAACAATTTTGTACCATCAAGAAATAAAAGTCATATGTGGCCATAAAATGGAATTACAGAAACAGTATAGGGATGATTTTCTGTTAACAAAGTATATCTATGCAAGACCCCAGAAAGTCTTTCTGGACTTCCTCCACAGAAAAAAAAACTCACTGCCCCTCTCTCAATCTCTCCTGTGCGCCCCTTCCCCCATCTTATTTTTTATAGCCCTCTCCCTAAAGGTTTACATTTAAAATGGAGTTATAGCATTATCAAGAACAGCATGTCTCTAGATTTATGATCTTTGCATATTCAAGGTTGCAGGAATTGAGCTTTAATAATTCATGGACCGCAAGCACGCCCTGTTAAGATTTTTCCCTCCAACACTAAAGTTCCTACTCTTGGGATCCCTAATGGGTGTACATGAGCCATACAACAATACAGCCTTTAAAAAGGACACAAATGGTAGGTGTGCTCTCCTGAGATGTCCTCACCTAAACCTCCTGCACATTCCCTTGCGGGCCCACAAGCATAACTGTCATGCAGAGAGATGGTTAATTGTTCAACGCGGCTGAGAAACCAAGCGTAATTGAGATATATAACTGGATGAGGAAGGTTGTTAAATGCAGCCTCTCCAGTATCGCGTAAGTAGCCTAACCCGCTGCAAACTTTTAAGAGATTAAGTTACATTCCTCTGCAATTCCACCCTTGACAGCTGAATCCAGAGATGCCAGCGAGTCGTGCACATCCATTCCCGCCACCTCACGGGTGGAAAGCAGGAGGCCACATCCTGTGGCCGGCGCTGACCAGAGGTTGGGAAAGGAGGGAGGGCTGGCGAGAGGGCTGCAGGGGGAGGGCCGTGCAGCTCCGCTAGGCTGGGACGGAGCAACTTCTCGCCCAGCTGGGCCACAGTGTGCCGGTAGTGGTCGATCCTGAGTGTGCCGGTAGTGGTCGATCCTGGGCACGGCGTCCATGGTGTTGTGGCCGAAGGTGCGCTGGTAGTAGGTGTTGGTGTGGGTGTCATAGTAGTAGTGCTGGTGGTGCCCGCTGCTGCCGCCGCCCGAGTGCAGGCTGCTGCCCTCGCTCAGCACCGTGTCCCCGCCGTTCTGGAAACTCACGTTGGGCCCGTCGCCGCCGACCCCCGCCGCATCCGACTGGCTCTCCTCTGCCGAGGAGGCAGCCGGGTCCACGAAGTTCACACGGAAGCGGCCCTTGGCTTCCTCACTGCCTTTCGCCGGCCCGCTCTCGCTGGTGGCTTTCCCGTCCACGGAGGTCTCCTTGCTCCCCGCCCCGGCACCAGCCGCCGCCGCCGCCGCAGCAGCAGCAGCAGCAGCAGCCCGCCCCGCGCTCTCGGAGACCAGGTCCACCTGGAAGCGGCTCTGGCTCGGGGTGGGCCCCAGCGGTCTGCCCAGCCCGTCCCCGGCCGCCGAGACGCCCTCGCCGCCGCCCCGGCTCGCGGCCGCAGCATCCTCCGGCATCGAGGACACGGCCGTGCCGGGCAGGTTCACCCCGGAGGCGGCCCGCGGCGTCTCTCCGACCCCGGCCAGCCTGGGGACGCCGGAGAAGGGCGCCGGAGCCCCCGGATCCATCGCCTCCAACCCTCGCGGACCAGAGAGCCTGGCGGACTTGGCGGGCTGCACGCCCTCAGCGCCCTGGCCGGCGGTGGCCGCGGTTCGCAACGCCAGAGCAAGGAGTCGCTTCTCCGCCGCTAGCCCGGGGCCGCACGAACCCGCCGGCGGCTGAGTCAGCGCGAGAGTGCG